GCTAGCTTGCAACGGCCATATCAAAACCATATTTTGACACCAATGGATTTATTCGACTTTGCAACAAATAATATACATGGAGTAAATTATTTTTGTAAGCAATAATGAATACAATAATATGGAAAATCATCTAGAAAGCAGATTTTTGAGAGCAAAAAAAATTCCGGGAAAACAAAAATACCATGCTTATATTCCCCTTGACGAAAATAAAATTAAAGTCAAAATTTATTCCAATTCTTTAGATAATTTAATATATGATATATTGTAAACATAATTATGAATTATTATATTATATGTAATTATGCATTTCAGAAAAATAAAGTTATAAATTGGTTTAGAATTATTTTGTCAAGTAATTTTCAGTCACAATATGTTAACAATTAAAAATAAAAAAAAGTTAGGGCCTATCATTTAGACATAATTTTAAAAAAAACATTATTTCATAAGTATTCATTAAATGAAGATATTTTTGATCAATTTAAGCCATATAAAGAGTCATAACTCCTAGACCCTTTTTCATCCCAGGCTAGGATTTGGCACAAATATAAAGCAGTGTTATATCTATCTACAGAAAAAAAATTTCGAAAAAAATACCTTTTTTTTTCTATGGCTATTTCCGGTTTTATACATCCGGTTTTGGACATTCATCAAATTTATATCATATTTATTTTTATGTCATATTAAAGAACTATTATTAAGCTACATAATAAAATTTAAATTATTTTTCTAACTTAATTATTTCTCGAGATATTTGAAAATAAATGAGGCACATTTTGTCAAAAATGTACTATTTTTCCGCGCTTTAAACGCCCATATATTAGCGAGTAAACCTTGTTGGGAGGTAAAATTTCATTTTTTTCTTAGTTATAGTATCTACTACCATTATGCAAAATTTAAGAAAAATTGAAGGGGGTCGGGTTGAGAATCGACTTTTTTTGGTTGATTTGATATGGAATTCACCAACAATATAAGATAAATTAACAGGATACATAGTGGCTGGTTAAAAAAATTTAGATGTGATTAAGCAAACAGCTGATTAAAAAATACCTTTTTCTTAATATTTTTAATTTTTAAATGAATTAAAATAAGAAGATTTTCTAAAATTGAAAGAACGTAAAAAAGGAACATTCATGTTCAAAGTTCAACAAAAATAAAAGGAACGTCGTTCATCATTTTTTTCAAAAAAAACGGAATTCCCAATATTACATAATACTAATGAATGATAATGTTATGTGAAGCAAACTGGAATTAAAAAAAGAACGAATATTTATAATTATGTAACAAAATAAATTAAAATCTTCATATAATTTTTAGGAACGCTCCATAACGGTCCCTGGAATCACCATTCCCATTCGATAATTTTTCCAAGTTCCGTTCCTGGATTCCATTTAAGTTTTATTGTTTTTTGGAAATTCAATTAAATAGTCATATCGTTGAGACAAAAAGATTCATTAATTATCAGTTCAGAACCTGTATTTACCGTTTTTAAAAAAAAATCGGATCGGGCTGATATTTTTTAAAAAAAAACGGTCGTCTTATTGTATTTATAATTATATTTTTTATGTTATACATAATTTTTTTAAAGAATAAAAGGAACCAAAATATTATTTATTTGAAATGTTTAAATAAATTATCTTAAAGGAGATAGCAGATAAGTGCCATATATATGCTTTATCATTCTTGATAATCTAATATTTGGCCATGAGAAACGGAAGATTTCATGGTAATTCTTGTCCTGTTCATAAATTAAAGGAAGGATGCACCAATACCTTTTTAGCTTATACTAATACCCAAACTGTTAATGTTTGAATTTGGAGGTGCCAATATTATGGATATTTGATTATAGCTACAATTTGTTAGATGTATAACCTCTAGTGTTGTAAACAACGCGTTCGTGAACGAAGTTCGTTTTTTTGAAAAAAGGTGATGAACGGCGTTCCTTTTTTTTGACAAACTTTGAACGTGAACGCGTTCCTTTTCTTTGATGAACGCGTTCAATTTTACGTTCGTTCAATTTTAAAAACACTTTTTATTTTTATTTATTTGAAAAATTAATATTAATCCGCATTTTTTAACAAAAAAGTCTTATATTTTTATTTATTTGAAAAATTAATATTTAATCCAATTTTTTAACAAAAAAGTCTTATATTTTTTAATCAGCTGTTTTTACTTTTTCCTTTTTCATATTGCAATTAACGTACCATAGTGCTACTGCTAGAGAAGATAAGATTAAAGTTTATTAATTTGAATATTTTATATTTTAATTTAATAGATTAGCATTTGCATGGATATAAATATTTCATCATCAGATTCTGAAAATCAAAATTCAATATTAGATGAATTAGAATTACCATGGCCCAAATATCAAAAATATTTCACTGTTTTAAAATCAATTCCGAGATATCCTTTTTTATTGACGAGGAAGAAGAGGGCAGATTGGAGGATGATAACATAGCTCAATTTTTTGAAACAATGGATAAAACATTAAATGTTTTTAATAAATTCCCCCTTTTAAAAGAATTATTTATCAAGTATAACACCGCTCCCTTCATCTGCCCCTGTTGAGCGAGTTTTTAGTATAGCTAACGCTGTATTAACTGACAAGCGTTCATGTCTATCAGATGAAAATTTTGAAAAGCAATTATTATTAAAAATTAATAAGAAAAATTTTTTATAAATTTATTTTTTTATCGCTCTATTATATTGTATTTATAATTATATCATCAAAATAAAACTATTATTTTTTATCATGGCTAAATATATTGTGTTAAAAAATATAAGGCATTTATTTATATCAAATTAAATTTAAAAAAAAATTTATCATAAAATTTTGTAAGTATGAACGCGTTCATGAACTTGAACGCGTTCCTTTTTTTGAATTTGAACGTGAACGCGTTCGATTTTTGTCAATAAACGCGAACGCGTTCGATTTTTTTAAAAATGTTTACAGCACTAATAACCTCCAACGCTCATATACTTAATGTGTCAAAACAAGCTTTTTATATTTTATAAATTTTTCTTTAAAAAATTTAACATATAATTTTTTTTAAAAGAAGTTAGATCAACAAAATTAATATCAGGCAACGAACCCTCATTTTAAAAAGGATTTGGGTTCAGTGAAAAATTCAGAATGTCTACTTATAAAATTTAATTAAAACATACGCATAAGTTTTTTCAAAAAATTTATTTTATTATATTTAGTATTCATTATAGAAATAATTATTTATCATATCAAAGATCTGCAGGCCCGGGCATAAGCCCGGGCACCCAGGCTGGGGTGTTTTAGTTTTTGTATATATAGCCAGTGTTATGTCCTAGTTTTTTTATATAATTTGTTTGATAAGGCAATTTGTTTACATGTTTCTTTTACATCTTCCCACGACATAAACGGTTTTATAAAACATTATTTATTATTTTCACATGACCATTAGCGATTAGAAACTGGTCCAATCCAGATTAATAATTGCGAGAACAAAAGGTTGTTTTCGACCAACTTTTTGTATATATATATTATATACGAGGATATGTAATTTGGGATCTTATTTTTATTTTACCAAAAACGTTAGTTTTATTTTATCTGCTATTACGTAGTTTAATTCATTTGACTGAAGAAAAATAAATTACGAAAAATGTATTTTTTTATTTTACTTAAAAATTAATTGGTAACGTATATTACAGACTATGATGTAGATCGGCTCTGTACCGTCCCACTAAATTAAATATAGATGAAAGCCACACAAATCTTTCGGCGAGGAGCAATCCGTTCCTTCGTTTACAAGTTAATATGAAATCCGCACTTATACTGGGGAGAGGCGTTGCCATCACCGTTATAAAATATAGGACTTGGTTGCCGTATAAAGAATTACGGATCAACATATAGGACTTGGTTGCCGTATAAAGAATTACGGATCAACTAAGAATTTAATTGCTTACGATCGTGGTTTACCATTTTTATTTAACCAAACCCCTGTTGATACTGGGATGCGATTATTGTCGTCTATTTACACGTTGTTATAAACTATGGTGAAAGCACCGCCAAAGTTGGACCCCCAGATCCTCACCCTGAAAAATCACCAAGATTCGATAGTGATAGAACCCTCCCCACCCCATCGTTCGGGAAACCAGCTTATTCGGCCCCGAATATTCACCCACAAGCCTAATTTTTTTTAAATATCTGTAGTGGGCTGGGCCTACAAAAGTTTGTTTAAAAATGATACCTGAGCTGGGCCTGATATTTTAAAACCAAATATTTTAAATCACCATTATTGTCTACAAAAATTAAAAATAAATAATTTTTTAAAAAAAATCCAGATAAAACCAAGCTTGAAAATATAAAACCTAAGCCTGGGTGAAAAAAATCTGGGCCAGGTCTACAAATGTACTTCTGCAGGTCTCTGATATTTATAATTTTTATTTAAATATGATAGGTGGATTTTAATCATGACATTGCCTTAAAATCTTAACTATACCAGTTACCCCTGAAAATAATTTGTCTAGGACCAAGACATATCCTAAAGCGAAACCATAGAACATGATAAAATATTTACATAATTATTAATATAAGATAAAATATTCTATTCAAAAATTAAATTCTCTATAGATGTGTTAATATTTGAAATTTAAATTATACTAATAATTGGATCAAAAATAAAAAAATATGAAAGATAATATATTTTTCTTATGCTATATATTCAATTCAACCTTAAAAATTGGCATAGCATATATTATTATACATTTTATTTTTGAACTTGATTGCATGTTCTTTATCATTAGATTATTATAATTATAATCTAAAAATTATTTAAAAAATTCTGTCAATATATTTTGGAATGAATTATTTTATATTTTCAATAAGAATTTTTCAATATAAAGAAAACAATTATTTTCTTATGAGATTGGTTCAATGATTGATAGATGGTAAATAAATATCAATTATCAGATCAATGTTGAATTAATATTTAAAAATATCATATATCTGTGAATAATTAGCAGATCAGTACCTATTAAAGACTGATTAATATGTCATCTTAATGGGCCAAATATTAGTAAATATAAGATTGTTTAATTGTAATAAATATTTATTCAAATTCACATAATTTTGTAATCTGAGGATATATTTTCATGACAATTTTAATTTAATTGATCTGTATAAATATAATTAAAAACTGTTATAATATGAGCAATTTACTTAATTTTTTTATGAATATATTCTAAATCTTTTCTAATTAATATTAAAATGTTGGCATGTTTTCTAATTTGTAACATCGTAATATCGTATCGTGATTTTAATAAGCTATTTAAATTGGCAAGCATTTCATCTGATTTTTCAAAACGTTCTAAACTTAATTTGATAAAATACTAATTATAAATATACATTGAATAACTCACATAACTGCTTGATTTTCGATTATTAATGATACATCATTATTATCAATTATATTGACCAATGAATCAACATATTTATATGAAGCATTTTGATTACTTCCCAACTTCTTTGATTCAACATTTTCCATTCAATTCAGCATGTGGAGAACCGAACTTGTTCATAAAAATTTTAACAAGAAGTGTTCTTATAAAAAATATTTAATAGTTTATACGCATTTTTCAAGGAGCAGAGGAATATATTTTTATTTATTTTTTATTTTACACATATTAGTATTTTAAAAATATGCATGAATCACCTCTTCAAAATACAATAAAATTATTTTTAAATTATTATTAAACGGTAATTCATGACATATTTACAAATAAGTAATCAGTGGCGTAGCTAGGATTTTCCTTAGAGGGGGTCCATACATATAAAATCCTGGGGGCTTCACCCCCAGACCCCCTTAAACGGGCCTTCGGCCCTTTTGCCCGGCCTTCAGCCGGGTTTATCTTAAAAATCCTAACCACATCTTCGACAATATATATAAATATTTTTAAATGCATGAATAATGTTATTATAATTTAGTAGATAATGTTATTATAATTTAGTAGATAATGTTATTATAATTTAGTAGATAATGTTATTATAATTTAGTAGATAATGTTATTATAAATTAGTAGATAATGTTATTATAATTTAGTAGATTATTCTCAATGACTTTATAATAATACTACCCAGAATAAATTCAATAGTAATATAATATCCTTTCACAAACATCAAAACCAGAAAAATATAAATATTAATGGTATTTATTTGATACAAAGTCACTTTTAAGTCTTTTGAACGTATAATCTAAAAAAAAAATTTGCTCTGGGAGGGGTCCAAACCCGAAAACTACCCCCGTAGCTACGCCACTGTGTAGTTGGATAGGTTATTAATAAATCTATATAGAAGATAAAAAAAGTACATGTTTTAGACTTTAAATTATAGTAAAACTAATAACTCAAAAATCTTCTAAAACCAACAATTTAACATAAATATAGAAAAAAATGGTTTCTAATTTTCTATCACATCATAATTAAATTCTTTCACTTGTTTCACATAACGTATGGTCAAAAACACATGATCAATCAAACTGCCATATCACGTAAAATTACATATAATTAATCATTACTTACAGTGGCGTAGCTACGGGGGTGGTTTTCGGGTTTGGACCTCTCCCAGAGCAAAATTTTTTTTTAGATTATACGTTCAAAAGACTTAAAAGTGACTTTATATCAAATAAATACCATTAATATTTATATTTTTCTGATTTTGATGTCTGTGGAAGGATATTATATTACTATTGAAGTTATTCTGGATAGTATTATTATAAAGTCTTTGAGAATAATCTACTAAATTATAATAACATATTATTTATGCATTTAAAAAATATATTTGAAATATATTATCGAAGATATGGTTATGATTTTTAGGATAAACCCGGCCAGGTTTACATATGTATGGACCCCCTCTAAGGAAAATTCCTAGCTACGCCACTGCATTACATAAAAGTGAATCCGTCAGCATCTGATAAAACGTCGGTTTATTTTATATTGATTTTATTATGTTCAATTTATTTATATCTGCTGAATACAATTATTTAGTTATAATTGCATCAATTCGGGTAGCAATTGCTATAATTGGTAGCCTTTTATCCAACCCTAAAAAGAGCCAAGGTTTGTAAGCTGCTGGGTGCAGCGTCTACATGAGCGGGAGGGATAGGAACAGTTTGCATCCTATTTTTTTGAGGGGGTAGGAGGTTAGCTGCTCTAATGGATGTAGGACAAATTTGGGGGGGGGGGGGGTTAAATTTTGAGATGAAATAGGACAAAATTTATTGCTGTAAAAATTAATACTTTTATTATAGTATTATTATTATACAATTCATCGACCAAGTCTATATATTGCAAACACATACACATTGTTTTCCAAATAAACTATCCATTTAAATGTAATTTAAAAGGTTTAGATATTTTAGCAAGCTCATAATGCCATAATAATTAATTCATTGTAAAAATGGAGGTTTTAATTGAATTTATTATCTAAAAAATAAATTCTTTATATTCACAAAATATCGATAGTTGGTAGTAGAGATACATTAATTTAAGTTATTTATAAATTCTTTGAAAAGAGTATCAATAAATAAATATTTGAAAATAATGATAATTTTTAGGGGGGTAGGCAAAGGTTTCTGAAGGGGGTTTGCATCCAGTGAACATCCTGTCATGTAGACGCTGGCTGGGTGTAATTGCTCTAAAGATAGTAATTAACGGTGTAACATGAAAGCTGCATCAATCATTTCATGATCTGTAAGTTGGACAATCAAATTTTTATTTACATTTGTGGTTTAGCAAAATATGCCAGATAGAGTAATAAATCGGTAGATCTTATTAATTTGAAGATGAGTTCTTGGTTAGTATAAGTGATGTTATAAATCATAAAATGAATATCATATATTGGATGCAATTGATAAGAGTAAAGAGGAATGTATGTCTAGCCCTCCTAATTTTGTTGGAAGGCAACTTCGTTTTTTCGCAAAATTTACGATTAATATTCTTCAGTATATTTATTTCGTTTTAGTTTTGTAGCATAGAGAAATTGAGAAATATAATGGTTCTGGGTGTCCAAAAGCAAATAAATATGCTTGGGAATAGTAAAAAAAATTGAATAAATAAAATGCTTGAGGCGAAGGTAAACAGTTACACCATTTACCTTTGAGGCGTGAACATTTTTTTAAAACTTGGATTCTATCTGAACCCCATAATTGAGACCCAAATTTCGTTTTTATTATGAGCATAAATTTGTCAAAGATGAATGCAAAAATTGTATGGCTAGATAAATTTTGAATTTTTTAAAAAAATTTTGAAAAGTTTATATGTTGAAAATTGAAAATGAAAATCCCTAGTGTTTTATTAATACATTATAAGAGTAAGAAATAGAGGCATTATCTAAACAACGACATCGAAGGATGGTTACTATTATTGTTAATGTCCTGATATTGTTGTCATACAGGTACCTCTTCTTGAAACCTCGATGTGGATATGAATCATCGTTTTTAAATGAACGTATGAAATTAAAATAATCAGGGTATTTATCTAAAAAAATCTTTTAATTAATATGGAACTATTCAGTGTGTTGAACGCGTTAGTTATATCAAACTTGATAAATGGGTGACGAGTGGCAGGTTTTCGAAGGTGATTCTTGTTGGATAGTTTACTGCTTCAACCTATCTTTGATTTCAAAACCAAATTGGCTTGGGATTAGTTGATATAACAACATCTGACAAAGACATGTTCAAGTTTGCATATGAATTTTAACAGAATCTTTCTTAAAAGTCCCACCTTATGACAATTAGACGAATATCATATCCTTTTTTTAGTGCAACCTTTTTAAGTAATGTAATATATTATTTTCTAACAGTAAAAACACTATTCATTTTTTTTAAATGGTAAAAAAGTAGTCATATATTTTTTTAATAATATTAGTTTTTTTCAACTTAAAAAATTGTATTAATGTTTGAATATTTTTTACGAAAACTTACAATCCCTTGCTTCTATGGACGCGTCGTCATGGTTGGAAGCCTTGTGAAGGTTTCGATCGAAAGATGGAACGAAAAACCCCATATATCCCGTTTTGGAAAGGAAAATAATGAGGAAGATATAAATTTTAATATATATATGCTTTGTGTGTCAATATTGAGAATATAGCTTATTTGGGAAGAACGCTCCTCAATCATTTTAAGTATTCTGAAGAGTTCGGAGAGGGACAAGAGTTCCGTACATACCAAATAGTAAGACCTAATATAAGGAGATTGTTGATTTTATTTTTTTTATATTTTATAATGCCCAGGCTAACAGAGAAATGAGCAGGACCAAGGGTTCTTCTTGTTGATTTCCTTTTCAAGGTTAATGAGGTCTTGATTAAACTTTAAAAATATATCAAACTAGTTCACGAAATTTTTAGGAATTCCAGAATAAAAAGATCACGGTGAATATAGTTTAAAGCATTCTGGAAATCAAATTTAAGGATGCACATAATTTTAGTGTGAAGCAGCTGAATATCTAATATGTCCAATAAAAAATTTTTAATCAGGGGAATTTTTTTAAAATTGTATTCCTTATAGGGAGGTTGCGTCTTTACCTGGCATCGTCGATTACATTGAAGTTGTTGTTATTTGTATTCCCTTTTACAAATTGGTTAATAAAATTTTAAAATGTAAAACTGAATTAATTTATAAAATAATATTTCTTCTATTAGAAAACTAAACAGAAAAATAATACAATAAAAATTAGATGCTTTTTTGTTTAAAATTTTTATTATTATATATTTTTATTTAAGGAATTATTTTTGAATAAAAATATGTGGAATATTTTATGATAGATTTATATAAATTTTAAAATTGCATTAGATTTTATGAACTAAATTTATATACCCAATTTTTAAAATTTTTAACCAATTTAAAAGTGCCGTAATTTAACAATTTTAACCTTAAAAGTCATTTGCTGTGGTCTAGTGAGCATTTTTTCTAGCAGCGTTTTTTGGAGGATTTTGCTCTCATACTCCCCATTTTGCTGGGTTACGGCAAGTTCTTTAGTTTATTCCTATTATATAAAATTTTTATTATTCTTACATTCGACAAAAATATGTATAAAACGATGACTAAACACTATATTTTGTAGCTGTTTGACAAGATAATCACATATTTTATGAATTTCACATTTAAAATCATGCTCTCTACTATAAAATGCTAATCTCATATATAAATTTATTACTTATATAGCACTATAAAATTTTAATAATTTATTATATCATATTGCACCGAGAATAAGAATTATTATACATATAAAATTGGAAACTTTATATAATTTCACAAATAGACTATAAATAAATGATGACGAATGATATAAATATTAAACTAGGCAAACTAATATGTTTTCTTTTAAATCTGCGCAACAATTCTCTTTAAACAGATATCAATAGAAATGCCTCCAATTTATCATATTCCATATTTGCCCTCAGCCTATTTTTATGATTTAAATATATTAAAAGCTTTTCCCTAATACCCTTGCCTAAATGTTAAGGTTAAAATATATTCATTGGAAGTTGTGCGCAGTTGGGCAAAATCCACAAATAACGTTATACTCTGTTAATATGATTGCATTTTGTTTTTATTTTTAAATGTTTAACTTACTTAATATTTAAATTTTTGTTTATCCTTAAGATATGTTTCCATTTATTTTTCGTTAAGTTGTAAATTGTATTAATATATTAAAATATTATTTATATATATATACTTGTAAAAGCAGATAATAAAAATGTAACTATTGATTCTTATTGTCATGGTAGAAAAGAAAAAAAAATAGACAAATGTAATTTTTTAAATATTTACGCTTTATAAATTATTTGATTAAATATTAAATTGTAACGTTAAAAAGGAAGTCAAATCTATTTTAAGATCATGTTTATAAACGGATGACCAAGATTTCATTATGTTGGCCAAGACGAGTCTCAAGCTTGCGCCCTCGCCTTAAAATAGACAAATGTAATTTTTTAAATATTTACGCTTTATAAATTATTTGATTAGAATATTAAAATGTAACGTTAAAAAATAAGTCAAATCTATTTTTAGATCACGTTTATAAACGGATGACCAAGATTTCATTATGTTGGCCAAGACGAGTCTCAAACTTGCGCCCTCGCGTTAACTAAGAAATATTTAAATTTTGCGTTATCATAATAGGCAAAAGATATGAAAAATCCATTAGGAAGATAGCTAGTTCTTTTTTTGATAATACCATTAAACGAAATATTATTTATATTATTAACACAAAGAAATGATAATCACATGCTCCCAGCACTACTTTATGGAGATATCCAATTCGAACAAGGAAAAGAGAAATGAACTATTCAATAATATAAAAGAATTATTACTGAGAATTTTAAAAATTAATAATATAATTTATAAAAACTTATCAAAAGCTTTTAAAGAGAAATTTCTATCTTTCATCTATTTAATTAATTAAATTTAAACCCCTTCTGATTCCACATTCTAATACAAATTGTGCTGAAAGTCGGCACTTCCTCTACAAGAGAGAGGGGAAAGAATGTGATGACTTAAAAATAAATGTTTGAAAATATAAAGTATAAAAGAAACAAATAAACGATATAAGTTATATTAAAAAATTAAATCATAATGAAAAAATATATTTAAAATAAATAATATATGACATATAAAATTAAACAAGTCAAAGTAAAATATAGAAAACAAAATATAAAAAGTAAAATATAAAAAATAAAATGTGAAATACAAGAAATTAAATTTAAAAATGAAACAAAAAATAAAACATAAAAAATAAAACATAAAAAATAAAACATAAAAAATAAAACATAAAAAATAAAACATAAAAAATAAAACATAAAAAATAAAACATAAAAAATAAAACATAAAAAATAAAACATAAAAAATAAAACATAAAACATAAAAAATAAAATATATAAAACAGGAATAAAAGGAAGTTTATATTATTAAAAGTGAAGCATAAACTAATCAAAATAATGATGACTATCTAAACCATAATATAATTAGGAACAACGACGAGCTCTACTCAATCGAGGAATAACAATGAGCTCTACTCAACAAATGAGCTCTACTCAAAAAAATAAAGAGGAAAAACAACAAACTCTGTTTACATAGGCGTAGCCAAGGGGGGGGCAAGGGGAAATTCCCCCCCCCCCTTCAAAAATATAACACTTTTCTTAAATATTATTTTAAACTAATAAAAAATACGTTCCTTAGTTCCCTCCCCACTCCCTGTCTCTCAAAAATGTATGCATATATCTTCTTAAACAATAATGCAAGAAATAATGAGAGTTAATAATTTTTTAAACTTAAACTATTACTATAATTCTTTTTTTTAAAGATTTATATATAAATATATATAAAAAAAGTGATACCAAAAAGGTATTTTAAAAAATGAAATATAAGCCATATATAAGTCATAAGACAAAAGTCAATTTTATATAATTACTATTAATAGATCTATAAAAATACTAAGTAAAATAATATATAAATATGATTTATTATAATTTTATATAGTGAATTATTTTAATTTATTTTTCTTAATAAAAGTAAAATTTAATTCCAAAATTTTTAATAAAATTAATTTATAAATTTAATAAAAAATTAACATAACCATATTCCCATTTTTTTAAATTTCCTTCCAATTTATTTTTAAAATATATTTTGCAATTTTTTGACCGAGCAACAAGCATTATATTTGTTTTAAGTTGATATGGACATCAGAAAATATCTTTTAAAGAATGTAAATGAAAAAGGTAATTCTATATTGATTATAATAAACATTAATTTCCTACCAAGATCATCATAGCAAGAAAATTGATTCAATTTCAAGTGAAAATAGGGTATCAGAAATATTATGTAACAATCATGAAAATATATCAAAAAAGAAGGAAATTAGAATAAATTTAACAAGGATTGACGAACGTATATTTTATAATATAATGAATTTATATATCTTTTTTTAGTGATGTTGCTGGGCGATAATAATTCTCTAAATATAAGAGACCTTGATTCAAGTAAAAACTATTTGAATATTAACATAATCATTATTATTAGTTGTTATTGATTTTCAAAAAGATGATCAAATATTAGAGATTGTGCTAGAGAATGAGAAAAGTAATCCTATCATCCAGGTAGTCCCAATAGGTATTTTATTTTAATATCATTATGTAATTTGCATTTTTTTAAGTTAATGTTGTTGATGAAAGATCTGCAGTAAATCTTATACAGTCAAGAGTTCAAAATATGGATAGTAAAATTTCTATTTTAAAAATATGTAAATTTTAGGTATTTTACCATTTGACATAAGCAATTATGTTCAATTGGATGTAGCCCCCAAAGACTTTAATATACTAGAGAGTATATATAGGTCACCCAATAATTATAAATTTCCAAGAGATCTTTCTAGCAGGAAATTAAAATTTCAATTTAATTGGTTTACCACTTGACCTTGGTTGGCTTACTCACCTTCACAAAGGGCTTATTGTAAATATTGTGTTCTATTTGGACCAAAATATGCTGGTAAAGGTGAACAAAAATTAAAGCGACTTGTGAATTGCCCATATAGACGTTGGAAAGATGCAGGAGAGAATTTTGAAAATCAACAAAACAATTTATACCATAAAAATACACAAAATATTATATCATCTCTTAGAGCAATTAATGCTAATGATAGAGATTCTATCATTCATATAATAGGTAAACCATTAAAAATTATTATAAGAGACCCACAAAGGTACCAGTTTAATTGGCCAACCTTTTGGGTTTCATATTTTATGGCCTTATAATTATTTATTTTTTATAAAGATCAAGATAAAAAGAAAATAGCAAATGAAAATAGACGAAAATATCTCCTCTAATAGATGCAATAATTAATGTATGGCATTAAGAGGTCATCAATATTCAGATTGTATATTTAAGGATGATACAAATGAAAATGATGGGAACTTTAGAGCTATTCTCAGAAACCGAGCAATTGGAGATGATGAGCTCAGGATTAACTGTTAAATGTACCGAAAAAAGATCCATATTTAAGCCCCACCATTCAAAACGAAATCATTGATGTGTGTAATGATTTAATATTAAGAAAGGTAGTTGCCAACATTAACAAGTCTCCATTCTTTTCAGTCTTGGCAGATGAATCAACTGATATATCTGGCATAGAGCAAATGTCCTTGTGTGCTCGATATTTATGTTCTGAAAATGGTAAAATTTCTATTTAATTTATATAAATTATTATCATTTATATAGATGAAGTTCAAATAAAAGAAGACTGCAATTTATTCCGATTCAAGATATGAGAGGTGAATGTCTTGCTAACACAATTGATGTTCATCTTAAAAAATTTAAAATTAATGTTAATTTTATGCGGGGACAAGGATATGATGGTGCCCCTGCTATAAGTGGACATTTAAATGGTGTCCAATCACATTTAATAAAAAAATATCCTACTGCAATTTATGTACATTGTGCATCGCATTCCCTAAATCTAGCCATTTCTGATTGTTGCTCAATTCCCGTTATTCGTAGTACCATGGGTTTATTAAACTTTTATTTTAATTATAATCATATATTTAAAGAGGCACAATAGGCAAGGTATATAATATGTTCAAGTATCCAAAAAGATCTTATGTCCTCAAAAATATTTTGGCAAAGGAAGAATTTGGCAATAATCATCATAAACTTGTGAAAATTTGCCCTACAAGATGGATCCTACGACATGAATCTGCAGTTTTTCTTGAATTAGTTGACCCGCGATTCAAGATCCTGAGTTTTTATTGGCCATTAATTGCATTAACACTCTCTTCTGCCACACAATATTATTATGCAGAGCCTTGCAAAGAGTGAACCAAGATATGGTTCTGGCATTGACTTAGCTGAAGATGCATATAATGCTATTTTACAGATAAGAAAAAATGCTGATTGTGAATTTAGAACGATTTTTAACAAAGTTCAAAAAAAAGTGCAATCTTATAATATGATAATAAGCATGCCAATAATAGTATCAAGACAAGTATATAGGAATAATATTTCCTTACAATCAATTGAGGAGTATTACAAAATTATTATTTCTATACCACTTATGGACACTTTTTTAACTCAGATTAAAGAACGTTTATTAAACCATAAACTTTTGCTAAGTAACTTTCAATTGTTATCCTCTAATCCATCTGTGAACATTTCGGATGACATTAGAAATAAAATTCAGTATTTATATAATTTTTATTTGCAAGATATGGTAGGGACCGAATTAGAAGTAATAAGTGAATTTAAATATTGGTTTGCCAATTTAAAAAGAATGGATATAAAGCCTGATAATGCATTAAATGCACTGAATATTTGTAAACACACACTAATTGATTTTCCAAACATAACAAAATTATTTCAAATTTTAGCATGCCTCCCAATTACGACATGTACAGATGAAAGAACTTTCTCTAATTTAAGAAGACTAAAAACATACTTACGAAATACTACCTCGCAGCTATAAAATATTCATCAGGAATTAACACCAGATAATACTGAAATAATTAATGAATTATCAAATTCTAAAAGAAAATTAGATGTAACATTATAAATTATTATCACATTTTTGTATGATCTATCTTATATTACACAAAACATAAATTATTACCACGTTTTTGTATGATCTATCCTACGACATAACATAAATTAATACCACATTTTTGTGTGATCTATCTTTATTAACAATAAACTAATAAAAATGCTTATTATTTGTTAAAAATTTTCTAAAATATATATAGGATTAATAACCCGGCCGAAGGCTGGGTAAAAAGGAATAAAATGAGGAACAGTATGAAGGGTTGCCTCAGAGGATGGAATGTTAATATGATTGATTTTTTGTTGCGTTATTCCTTTATCTTATTTTTTGTTTTTTGCATTTGAACTTTTATTATTTTTGTTATAATCTAATTTTATTTTATAAACGGCGTAACCTTACTTTTTTATATATTATTTTACTTTTTTGTATTTCGTTTTATATTCTAATTTATATGTTAGAAAATGTATAAATACCTTAACAAAAGAAAAAGAAATTAGTTAATAAAATATATTTTTACTGACTCGCACCTCGCACCATATCGTCACCAACCTTATTCTTTGCATGGTGCCCCTTGGGTGGTGGACTAGAAAAAGATGACTACCTATTGTGACGACTATCTAACCTATAGAGACTGCTTTACCTATTGAAATGACTACCTTATCTATTGATATGACTACCTATTATGTATCTAATCTATGACGATTGCTTAATCCATTGAGATGACTCTATTTATATGACTACCTATTGTGACGATTGCTTAATCCATTGTGATGACTCTATTTATATGACTACCTATTGTGTTGATTGCTTAACTTATGGAGATGACTACCTATTATGACTCTACCTTGTGCTTAACCTATGGAGATGACTACCTATTATGACTACCTTATCTATTGTGATGTTATGACTACCTTATCTATTGTGACTACCTAAACTACTGAGATGACCAAGAATCAAACCTTAGTACGTTCTTTCATGCAAAAAGCTTCTTTCTTTATGGTGTCCCGGCTCTGGATGTTGGACTGGAATATAATAGCCAGCACCTAACCTAATGTGACAACCTAGGAAGAACTGATATGGAAGTTGAACGATAGGTTATGAATTCTATATTGTGAGACCAATGATGATTACTTATTATTCTAATCCACGTAAGAAGAAAAGTTATTAAAAATTAAAATTTTATGCCAGGATAAAGGCATGTTATAAATTTTTAAAATTACTAAAATGTAAAATCATAATGGATAATATTGATATTTTTTTTGATTTCTTGAATAATGACGAATTGTTGTTAATTAACAAAACCTAAAGATGAATTCTTAAATATAATTAAAAATATTAAAAATCCTAAACAAGAAGATAAAACTTAATTTTAAATATGTTAAAATGTAATTTTTAAATCACATGATTGATTCAAATAACCTTCATAAGTAATACTTAATATGATAAAAAGTTTTTGAAATTAAAAGCTTTGAAGACAAAAAGTTATGTAAAAAAACATTCATTTTAGAAAAATATATTTAAATTATGTGGTGAATTTTCAAAACTATCTTATGAAGAATTTTTTTTTTTGAATTAAAATTAGGGTGTGAAATTTAAAATTTTATTTAAAGAGAGGGAAATGTGAATAATATATTATTTGCATATTTTAACCTGGGAGATAGATAATAAACAAAAATTAATTAAACACTAAAACACGAAAAATTAAACGCTTATAAAATATGAAATGCTAAAAAATGTAAAACGCAAAAAATATAAATCGCTAAAAATATAAAACGCTAAAAGTATAAAACGCTATGATTAACTTAAAAATAATATAATAATTATTATGATTTATCGTTCCTTATTCTGGATTAAAATTTTATTCCTTATTCCATAAATTATCATTCCTTATTATATATTTTATTGTTCCAAAATTCAAAATTTTATTCGTGCATATTATTCATATATTTGATTTGATCAACTATTCCAAATTATATATTCCGATTTATTCCAAATTCCAATATTCGACTGGATTAATTATGAAATTTGAGAAATGTGAAGGATATCAAGCTAACGATAACGTTCAACGATTTCATCAAACCTACGAGAACATTTGAGACTTATGCGCTAACCAAGAAGAAACCGAATACAATCGAAACGGGAAAAACTTCTAGAACAACAAACTCTCTATGACTTCTCCGATGAAATTATCAGAAGAGGGAGAATGTTGCGTTATTCCTTTATCTTATTTTTTGTTTTTTGCATTTGAACTTTTATTATTTTTGTTATAATCTAATTTTATTTTATAAACGGCGTAACCTTACTTTTTTATATATTATTTTACTTTTTTGTATTTCGTTTTATATTCTAATTTATATGTTAGAAAATGTATAAATACCTTAACAAAAGAAAAAGAAATTAGTTAATAAAATATATTTTTACTGACTCGCACCTCGCGCAATATCGTAACCACCCATATTCTTTGCATTTTTGTTTTTTTTAAATGTTAAATTATTTAATATTTTAAATTTTTGTTGTATATCCTTAAGATATGTTATTTCGTTAAATTTTAAATTGTAATAACATATCAAAATATTATATATACATTGGCATACGCAGCGGGAGGGGGGGGGGCAGGGGGACATATCCCCCCCCCCCAAAAAAAAGCCAAAAAATGGGATATATTTTTCAAAAATATTATTGTTTATATTAATTTATATTTGTTAATATTTACTCGTATCACATATTAAATGTATATTTTATTACATATATTATCACATTCAAGTTTTCCGGCGTAATATTTACTTATTATTTTCAAATCTTTAGTGGCCTAATATTTATCTACCATAATTTCTAGTCAAATAATAATTATATCTGAAACTTCTGGTCCAACAGGGAAAAAGAAATTGCAACCTTGAAAATCGAGATAGAGCCTCTTCCATCACTAACAGCTATTAAGGAATTAGAAGAGCCAATTATTTGCTATTACTGAAATATCACAATAGCCTGAAAGAGATATTTCATCAGAAGCAAGAAAATTATTGGATTCAATGCTTATTCCAAATTTTATTTCTCATTAGAATGTATTATTTAATTATACAACTATTTTAAGTATTACTTTTCAAAAACATGACATTGATTTGATTAAGAAGATGAGAATAGCAGAGAGCATTTTATCAGAACTCAAGGAAATTAGGGCTAATATTGATGAAGAATTTCATATTTTATTGTTGAGTCAAAAGCAGAGCTATACGTGTTTAATATTTGTCTCCCTCAACTTGTAGCAAGGCAAGTTCATCGTTAAAACATTAATATAGGATCAGTAGAAGAGTATATCTTAGATGCAGATACGTTTATAACACAAATAAATGAATTTTTAATATATCATGTGTAATATAAATGTAATTGTAAATTGAATTTAAATTGAATATAATATTAACTTTTCGTTTGTAAATTACATAACCTGAAGGATTGAATTCATGATATATATATACGTGATATTTTGTATTAAATATACTTTTACTTACTTTACCTATTTTACTTATTTAATAAAACACTTCATTGGCGACGATTTTTAGAGAAGATTTATTTGATTTATTAAATTTAAAGTAAAAGACTCAATGGAAGTAGCTCCTATTAAAGTTGAAGATTCAATGGAAGTAGTCCCTATTAAAGTTAAAGACTCAATGGAAGTAGTTCCTATTAAATTCCATATTCCAGAATTCGTCAAAGAAAAAGTAAATATTCAGGACTACTTATTTAACTTGGAGTTAATTTATAAAGTAAGAAATATTATAGATTTAAATACAAAAAAAGACCTGCTTTTAGCCTATATCGGAACAGACAATCTTATCAAAATTAAGAACTTTCACTTTCCAATAAATTTAGAAATGATAAATTATGATACTTTAATAAAAAGCTTAAATTTGGTGTTCAAAGATAGTTCGAGCATTTTCGTAAATAGGAAAATTTTTTTTACGCTAAAAAGATGTAATGAGACGATTATTGACTTTTCAATTAGGGTTAAAACTGTCTGTTCTCTTTGTAATTTTAAACCGCCTTTTGATGAACTTTTAAGAGATATATTTATCCTAGGAGTAGGCTTACCTGAGTTTGAAAAAGAACTTCGGTCA